AATTCGCATTCTCCTTAGAATTCCCATAGTATTTCCTCAGAATTCTCAAAACAAAAATCCATCACAGAATAACTTTGGAACCCTCCACAGAATTCCTTTGAGATTGAACCCTCAAAATTCGATTCCATTGGAATTCTTCTCGGAATTTATTTCGAACTCTTTAGAATTCTCTTGGAAGTATCTTCAGAAATCACACCAGAATTATTTTAGAACTATCCGCAGAGACAATCTTTGGAGTTCACGGGATTTTCATGTAATTTTCATCAGAGCTCCCTTAAGCAAATTAGCAGAACTAATTTCGAATTCTTAGTAGAATTGGACCTAGAATTCTCATCCAATCATCATAGAATTCTTCTCAGAACGCTCGTTAAAATGCACTCTCAATTATATTGGAATTATTTCCAAAATAGTTTCGGAGCTCAATTTTGCGTCTCTAATAATTTAAACAATGATCAAAAGCGACGCCCGTATGTGTTAAGTCAAGTTTAACTATATAGGTAAACCTGGCTTAAGATTTAAGCGGAGATGAAGAAATTGGTCCTCCGAGCACTTAATTTTACATTAGACTTTCGAAGTCTGTATTATTCTCTGATATATCTTGGTGTCATCCCTAGAATCATTTAAAATTCTCTTAAAATTTACTTTGGATTTTTAAAGTTCTTAATCATCCTTGAAAAACTTTTAAAAATCTATCACAGATAAATACCTTTGGAAAGTTTCCAAGGTTTACAATTTATTTTCTGGAAAATGAGGTATATTTTCTCCGATTTTTAATAGAAATTGTAGGCATTCCTCAATAGTTTTGCTGATGTTCTAAGGTTTTGCGGTTCACTGGTCACCCTGGTTAAAATTTTCAATTTTTTGACAGATATATATATATTTAGCTAAAACTACTGTAGACTTTCTAAGTGCCAAGTACTCAATTTAAACATTTTGTTGATATTTTTAAATTTCACTCTATTTAGTAGTGAAAAAGTGACTTTAGTGACTATTTTTAGGGAAATAGTGACTTTAGTGACTTTTTGGTGTAAAAAGTGACTTTTTAGTGACTAGCTTCAAAATAGTGACCAAGTCACTAAAAAGTGACCTGCTACCAGCCCTGCGGTTTAGGTATTTTGATTAAGCACAAAACTGAAAGCGATGAACCCGAAGGTTAAATGGGTAATTTCTAAGACAACAGCACCTTTGCTGGATCTTGAATTTGGATCTGCGACAGGTTCGAAATCTTCACAATTTGTGTATGAAAATTTCGCTCAGCGGCGCCGGTGGTGTAGTGGTAAGCGTGATTACCTCTCACCCCAGCAGGCCTGGGTTCAATCCCAGTCGACGCCGCCGGGATGTTCTGAGGCATAACATCTCATTGTTTTCGAAGAGAGGACGAGGTATATTTTTCCAGATTTGTCAATTAAATTCATGGGATTTTCCCGGTGACTTCAAATTCCCGCCTTTTCCGATTTTCCCGGTTCACTGGTCACTCTGCATTTCACATATGAAACACTTGTTTTTAATCCTATTATATTTGTTTTGCCTTGAGTAACTTTTGAGACCCAGCTTCGTAAGAAAATTATTCCGGATAATATGTTTAACCAAAAGCTAATTGGTAGGCGGATTCCTCCGGTGGAAAATAGTAAAAACAACGCTTTCATCTCCAAAATTCTGTAAGTTAATTCCTAATTCTAAATTGCAATAGCAGCAACATTACCATACTAAAACTTTACTGTGACGTTAATTTTACGAGCTAACCAGGTTTACAATGAAGACCTAGAATACTTAATACAGCCACTCTGTGCTGTCAAAGCAATGCTTGTCTACGTATCTTTGAATCAAAAACGTGCTACTCCAAGCAATCAAAAAAAAATCCTCCCAAGCAAGAACATTATCATAAATTCTCATTTAGTTAGTTCTTTGAGCTATTAAGCTGTTAAGACCACAATAAAGAACAAGAACTAGAAGTATTCAGAAAAAATCATTATCTTCTCTTAAAGCTAGGTTTAGACAAGGCAAGTCAATTGATCAACTGAGTTGAATTCAACTGACTTGAACGTGTAAACTATGCCATTTAACTGACTTGAATTGAAAAAAGTTGAACCAGGCTCAACTCTTCACGCCAATTGAATTCAACTGAGTTGATCAATGACTTGCCTTTTCTAAGCCCTGCTATTAACTCATTCTTGCATTTACTCAAAAGCGCTCCAATGCGCTCAAGGGATTGATTTTTGTTGGACACAGCTGGATCGAACAAATGAAATTGAAAACCATCGTCAAACTACAAAGAATAATTAAGTTGTTTGAAACTAGCGAAGTCAGCCATACTGCCCATACTTATTAATATGTTCCTGTTATAAAGAAGTATTTCCCTGACTTTGAATGAAATTCCCTGACAATCCCTGATTTTTCAGGTCCAAAAAGGAATTCCGTGATTTTCCAGGTTTTTCCAGGTAGTCGACACCCTGTTTAAATTCCTGGTTGATTTGTACCATCAACCTTTACTGGAAATTAGCACGTTGACATTGATGCATGCTGCATGTTCTAGACATGCAAATTTTGGAATTCTAACATACAGAGTTGACCATTACTGAACATACATTCAGCCGCATGCTTCCCCGTCGTATGCTATTGTTTAATCTGACTCAGCAAAAAGCACTAAGCTGACCCATATCACTCGCTTTTTTTTCCTATAAAAAAAATAAACAAACAACAAATGCAGCAGCTTATAATATTTGATAATTCAATATCTGAAGTGTTATAAACGCTCCGTCATGTTTTTGTGTGTGTTACAAATACAAGAAGTATTTTATTTACATTATATAAACGATGCTAGTACGCCGGTGCTACATATCGTCAGAATTTGAAATCATGTTGAATTTTTGTATTTGATCTTAAACGAGCGCCTTTTGTATTGAATATTTCAAAATTAATCTTTTAAAATCAGTATAGTGACTCTTACCGTTTATTGCGATCATATAAATCCAGTAACAATCGTAAGTGCTCTCAGACGGATTCATCTATGACGGATTCAGTATAAAACAATCTTTCAGGGACAGTTATACGTAGAATTTGAACATGGGACATTTAGATTTCATGTTGTTTTTGTATAAGCCAACGACAAATTATGTGCTTTTTTAAATGTTGATCGAATTATGTAAAACAATACTGATCTATGGACAAAAGTAAAAAAATACCACTAGTAACATGGGACAGATATGCGTAGAACGGCAGTGCAGCTAATCGAAGATTTCAATGAAGTCCTCTGGATATTTCTTCAAGATTTCAGGACGAGGAAGTTTTTTTTCTGATGGTCTTAAACTGTTCGTAAATTATAATGATGTCTTGGGATATTCTCTCTAGACCGCAGTATTAAAAAGATCTTCAGGTGTTCTAAAATCCAAATGACATCGCTCAGATGTTCTCCCAAGATCGCAGTTTAATCAGGAAGTATTCAAAAGATCTCCAGCTAATCGACTTCAAATATTGCATCCTCTTTGTTCCTCGATGAGGATGTCGTTTGGCTTCAAGAGATTCATCCAAAGTTTTCTCACTATGGGATTTGATAAGTATGACAGTGTACCATTTTAAATGTATGGCCCATAATTAACATCAACAATACATACGCATTTTGCGATTGTATTGCATATCTTACAGCTGTCGCTTATACCACTTACACCGCATGTGTGTTTTGTAAAACATAGTTGACAAAAGGAAAAATTACCGCTCAGGAGGCCATACACATGGATATCAAGCATACTTACGAAGAAGAACAGACCTTATCAGAAAAACGTCTTTTTTTTCGATTTGGAAATCTACAGGAAACCAACGGAAACGAGTAATGCCAAGTTCTTCAAACCACTCTCATCAACACTAAAATTCCATTATCCATCACATGATTAACAGGATGCAAACTCTTCCACTTGGCCACTTGCAAACTCTTCCACTGTAGGGATTTCGAAGGAAATGGCTCATATTTTTTAAATAGCTAGGCTTAATGGGTATCAAGACAGAACTATTCAGGCAATAATCGACAAAACACGAGGCACCATTTGAGACGGACTGTGACAACTCTTACACCAGTTACAGAACCTTTGAAACGAGTAGCCGTGAATTTTTACAGACGCAACTTAGCCTTTTAGTTCGAAGTTGAGGAGGTTTGGCCTAGATTCAGTATTCAGTAGCAGGAATAATCTGCTAAAATCGTTGTTAGGATCAACGAAAAACCCAATGCATGTCTTGGGTAAAGCCGGTGTCTACACAATTTCTTGTCCACATTGTGATGATATCTACGTTGGTCGAACTAAAAGGACTTTGGAAACGAGGTTCAAGGAACACACACATCGCTGAGGTAAACAAGACGAAGAAGGAGATGGACAAGGGACTTATGGGGTTGCAAAATTTGACAAATTAAAACATTGATATCATGCGGAGTATATCTTCGCCTTGGAAACTTAACGGAGCAGAAAGCTTAGAAATCTTCAAACATAACACATCAACTTCGCTTAATAGGGATCACGGAAACGGGTATTTGAGGCCCTTTAGCATACTACCTAAAACGCACAACTTGGCAGATCATTCTGTCGGGTAGAATTTGAAATGGTTTTACATGCCACACAAAGTTGGAAAGATAGGTACTGCTGCTTAAGTCGCACCTACATAGATTAAGATGAATGTAAGTTGACTTGAATTTAGTTTGCCCCGGAGCAAGTGAATGAAGTGCATCCGTTTACCTTTTTGGCGTTCAGTGCCGAATCGAGGAACTGCATTGGTAATATTTATGATTTATGAATCAACGACAAACTTTGACACATCGGACCAATCGTGGGTTGTTTTAATTTGAATATTTCTGAACATTTTCACGCTCACTTTACGCAATGATCAGCTTGAGGGCTATTTTGGTTCACTTAATTAATCTTCGAATCGAGAACGGACACTTGATACAGCTCGAGAGACGATGAGATGCGACCGATGGGTGTGATATCTGCAAAATTACGCTGGACGTAACAAAAATCCAAGTTTCAATCATTTTTATTTTGAGTTTGAAAATAAATATATTCTTATATCTAAGAATCAAGTTGATTTTTTACCCATCACTTCCACGCATAAATTTTCCGCTCCAACACTTTACTTGACCCCGGAGCAACGAAACGATAGTCCTAGAATTTCTCATGTCAAATAATCCATTCATCGGTTTGGTAGATCAACCAAACCGGAAACAATTTTCAGATATGAAGTAATGGTTTCCTCATAGTATTCAATTGGAGGTGTTGTAATCCTGCTTTCTGCTATGTATTTTTTTTTCACTACGTTTGATTAGTTAAACTGAAAGATTAAACAATTTTCAATATAAGCAAAGTACAATTCTCAATATTCAAAGTTGCTGTAGTTTGCTAGAAATTGTTTACCCATCGGCAGCCATTAGTACGTGTATTCAGTAGTATTCTAGACCCTATGGGAAAGATACGTTTGCTTTAGCTGTGTCTTACAAGAGCATTAAAATCAACCACCTACCTGGGAAGATTGCATATTTCGCACGTTGGCAGTTCCCGACTGTTGATGAACGTACAGTGAGAGCAGGTCCAATTCTGTTCCGCTTCACCGACCGATACAAATTCCACATCGTTACTCATGCTGGAGCTTCAATAAAGAAAGGAAAAGGATAGTATCTACAAACCAAGTTCACCAAATGAAACCTACTCGTCGTGGTGTGAGCTGGCCGAGATCAGTTGCTCCAAAGTTCGCCACACTTCCTGATTCTTCCACTCGGTGGCCGCCGTCTTGTCCTTCTGGCGCACCGCTTCCAGCAACGGAGCCATTTGCGATTTCATCGGCAGCATGTCCATGCGATACAGATAGAACAGCAGATGAAAGTCGGACATGGACTGAAATGATATTTTTTTTTACGTTTCAAGATCATTAGATATCGTTTAAGGAAAGCAATTCATTACCTCCAGGAAGTCCATGGATCGGGACTTTGCTAGATAGTTGCTCAAGGTGGCGAAATCCTGAATGTGTCCATCGATGAGTCGATTCTCAACCGGGAAGTACTGGCTGACTTCTTTTCGCTCGTGGAATGTAAACAGCGGAACCATCGGCGTCGAAGCGGGTACATCTACCAGCAAATACTCAACCGGCAGTGGTCGGCCCAGGCGTTGAACTTCGTTGCCGTAGACGTCTTTTTCCTGGCGATGGGAGAGAAAGGAGAGATCGAATATTTAATTTAAAAATTTAGATGTTGGGATGGAAATTTGTCGAAGTCTCAGACACTTGGTTTGAGTTAAGCTTGAAAGCATATCATTTTTTAAGTCAGACTTCCTGAATATTTTGGTTAGCTTTGTTGAATTTTGAAATTTTTTCATGATGTATAATCTTGAAAATTCACATTTTGTAAGTGCAGCTGTTATCAGCTACATAATCCATTAAATTTAAAAAAAATAATTGTTCGAATATTGGAGTTTAACGGTGGATCAAAACACTACGATGTTTTATGAAATACATTTAAGTCTTTGGAATTGGTCTTCTTCAGGGGATATAAAATTGTACAGTCTTTCAATCAGCGCAAACATCTTTTTTTTTTCTTTGGACAGGCTAAGACCATGACTGGTCCATCTTTGCGACCTTAAATTAAAACTAACCCTGGTGAAGATCGCAACCTCGTGAATCGAAACGTTGACGATGATAACACTATAATCTACACATTTTTGCTTGATGACTAAAAACTGAAATAAAATGACTAATTCTTCAAGATCTTTTAAGTTTTCCAAATATTTAAACTTTCCTAAAATGATCGGTGCTTCCTTGAAGTAATTGAAGGTAAACTTTAATAATATTCTCTTGACATCCCTGAATTTCTCAGAACTTTTTAAAAGTTCGCACACCTTTCCTTGCCTCGCCTTGATTTCGATACTTCCTTGAAGCTCATAGAACTTTCTGTAAAATATTTGAATTTCCACGAGATTCCTCAAATCTTCAAGAAACTCTTGCATTTATAGCTATTCATGGAACTTTCCTGAAGACCTTGCAAATTTCTAGAATTTTTTTGAAGTTTTCAGAACGTTCTTTAAATTCTTGGATTTTTAAAGAAATTCTCAGAAGTTCTTGAAGGTTCCGGCAGTGTTTCTGATGTTAATGGAACTAACATAAAGTTTTAAAAATTGTCCATAAGTTTTTGGAACATCATTAACGTTCCCGAAATTTTCCTGACGAGGGGAGGGACTCCAACTATTTTAAAGTATTGTGGACTTTGTTCTTAGAATATCTTATTAGTTCCTGCAATTTTTCTGAAGTGAATCGAACGAAATGAAGTGTTCAAAATTTTCCTGAAGTTTTCGGAACTTCTCAAAAGTTTCCACAATTTTCTGGTTATACATGGAACCAGTCTACGTAGTTAATGAACAGCCCCTTTTGTTCATTAACTACGTAGACAGTTTTTTAGGATTCTGGAGCCTCCCTCCCCCTGCGTAGACAGTTGCCGATACACATACCCCCTAGCAGTCTACGTAGTTAATGAACAGCCCCTAATCTACAGATATCAGAAATTTTATAAAACTCTTTGAACTTAGCGAAGGTTTTCAGAAATATATTGGAAAATTTCAGAAATTGATACGCAAATTCTGCGCTAGCTGTAACAACCCTGGAACTCTTTTGAAAATTTACTCAAAATCGCTCGGAAATTCTGCTTAGAATTTTCTAGAAATTTTGTTTTCATCGATTTTTAGCAAACATTTGTGCTTGGTAACAAATATCTTTCCTTCTTATCCTATCAGAAAGCGAGTAATTGCGTTATGGCCATAAACCGTACCTAGGGTTAGGACAAGAGTGAGTGCTACCCGAGCAAAGTCGGTTAACAAAATGAAAGCAAATCGATATTAAAGTGTGCAGTTCCTATCATAATGAAAACTCATTTTGATTTCAAATGTTGCGACATAAGTCTGATATCATATTGTGCTTTCATTATGCAGTCAAGACTTTTTAAATGACAGCAACTTAACTTGAAGTTCTGCTGTTTACGTCTTGTTTAAAATTTAATTGAAATTCATCTGTCGTTGAACTAATGATTATCGTTTATCTGATTTGTTTAACACATTTTAGGTCATTCGTGACTTGCCCGAGGTGAGATTGGAGCCCAAGTCTTTCAGCTTGAGAAACATGAATGGTAACCATTTACTCCAGGCCCGTATTCAGTTGAACATTATGAATGCAAAATCAGTAATCAAATTGATTTCATTGAAAGCAGGATTAGTTTTCCGTTTGCTTCAACAGTGTAAAATTTTGCTCTCTTTTTTGCTGTGTTAACCGTTAAGTCAACCAAAATGAGATCAACTGGAGTATTCGAAATAAGTTGCATCATAACAGCAAATTTTGATTTCAATTTGATCTTCAGCTTTGCTCGGGTAATGTGTCAACCGTCAGAGGATAATGGAGCATCACTTAACCTTGTTGGGCTATACTAGATGCTCACTATGACCAACCATCAAATAACAAAACAACGAAACGTACGGTACAAGATGTCCACGTTTCAAATATTTGTTGGATTCTAAGGCATCCTGTTGAAATCTGCGATTTAAACAAGCCCGGTGTTTTCTGACACATCTTGCCCCTTAATACTGCACAGTAGGCCTGACCGCATTGATACGCGCAGGGCATCTTCTGATAGAAATTTGTAGATGAATTGATCATTTGTAGTTGTTGTGAGAAAAATACTAGATCAATGTGTTGGTACCCAGCTCCCATTTGAATAACACAATGTGGAAAATAGCAAAAGAGTAAGAGGTTGTATCCAAGACACGACCGTAGATTTAACGTAGGATTACGAAAGGTCACATGAATTGATTTTTTTAACTCGTTATCAATGAAAAAGTTCGATAGGTTGAAATTCGGAAGCAATTTGAGAGTTCTGTTTGTGAGGTGCTCTGTCAATGTCCATGTAGTACAAGCCAATCCTGGACGATATGTCTTTGATACAAGCTCTTACTTGAACTCTTCAGTTAACTCTTTTATCAGTCATTTGTGGTCCTGAAAAGGACCGATGGGTTGGAAGCTAGGAAGCCAGTTTAGATCAATGCCGTGGAAATTTTTCCTCGATGTTCTTGAAGATGATAGTGGTGCGGAATTCAAATATGTATTAGGGAAAACACATCAATCACAGAATCTGAGCTTACCGGACGGTACTTAAGTTTATGCTGTTTGATGCAAATTTTAAGCCTCTTCTATTTTTTTTAACTAGGCAAGAATGTTTTTGCTATTGTTCTCTTATTAGTAGGGGCTTAAAATTTGCATCAAAAGGCATAAAGATAGCTACGATCTGGCATGCTCAGTGCTTGTTATCAATATTCTGCGACTGTGTTAGACAAATTTTGACAAATTTCCAAAAAATACTCATTATCAACCGCTTTGTCGTGATGGTTCAGTAATGCTGAGCTATTGGGGAGTTCAACATGGATGAGGCTGGCGAGCTGTATGTTGTTTAGAACGAGGTTGACGCACTTGGCATAGAAGGCACATAGTCACTCACGAAGATGGATTCCGAACAGTAGCGGTGAGGCTTCTTACTCCTTATTCGGTGAATGGACGCTCATGCGGGCTGCAGATCGCTGCTTGCGGGCAGCCTTTCGTTGTGTACTGGAGAAAAATGTACAACGTCACGCGCCGAAAGCACTGACGACCGACCGGTTACCATCACACACGGTGATTGAATAAGCACCGTGGAGGGAGACAGGATCGAATTCGATTTTGACATCTGTGTTAGGGAATGCGCTGTTTGCAGGCAATCGGTGATAATTTTGATCACTATTGCAACAGTTGGACGTTTGTGTAATTTTTAATAGTGACCTATTGAAAATTAATAAAGTGTTCAATTTAGCAGATTCGTAGCAAAATCGATTGGCTTGTTTAGAATTAAAATCCATCCGCTATTGACAGAGTTATATGTGGTCAAAACCTGACCACTTTTCGTAATGCGGTTAATTTTGGTTTATTTGAAATTGCACCCCCAATATGTTGCCGAAAGACGTAATCCTACGTCAAAAATCCTCATGCACATAAGAGCAGCTCCAGGCAAAAAAGCGAAAAAAATTGTTTTAACGACCTTCTTCGATTTGTTTGAAATTTTGAGTAATTGTTTGTTATGGGCAATGATTCACATTTTTGCAATAATTCGGCCATTTCGGGCTTGTGACATTTTCAAAATGGTGTCCTTACAATGTTTAAAAAAAAAATCAATTCTGATCGATATGACGTCTGCGACAAAGTTATAGATAAAAATAATGTATTTCTGGAAAAAATAAGCATGCAATTATTTTTGTTAAGATTTAAAAAAAAAAAAATGTTAAAAGCAGGGCTGGTAGCCACCATTGCTGTCAAAACTAGTGATTTTAGTGACCATGTTTAAGAAATAAGCGACTAAAAAGTGACCTAAGAGAAGAAAAGTAGTCGTTAAGATGACACATCAAATAAATGTTTGATGTTTTAGACTTATTCAATTAGTATCGCATAAACACTTATGTACGATATGACCCTTTAAAGCGAAATATTCAATAGAATGTTTATGGCCAAACCCACGGTATTAGTCAAGGTATCTACAAACTGCAAAAACCTGGAAAACTGGGAATCCACAGGAAATTTTATTTTTCCTTAAAATATCTGGAAGTCTCAGAGAATTTAATAATTTCTTCCTAAGGATATTTTAAAGAAAGTTTTAAAATACAAGAATATAATTATTCTCGTTATTTTTATTCACACTTTGAACTTTATAGATCCACAGTGGGTTAATCATCAGTAACAAAAAAATAAAAATAAATTAAACAGAGGCATGTTTTTTTTTTGAACCTGCATATATCCTAGAAATTTTATATTTGAATTAGTTCTGGATTTAAAAGTTATGGTACTTCAATAAATTTCCAAGAGTCTGGAGTCAAATTCCATGCACAGTTTGAAAGGCTCGTGGAATTTATCATAATTTCTAAGAACTTCATTCTAAGGGAGTTCTGGGAAAAAAAATCTTTCAGAAAATAATCAAATGCAATCTGCTTTCATTCAAGGTAGTTCTGAGGAATTTTAGATTTCATGTGAAGCCTGATAGTAGTGAGTAGAGTTTCAAGAGACCCTGAACTGAATTGAAAGTAAATTTTAATGCAAACTCTTAGGCATTTCGGAGGAGAACAACTCCTGTGAACTTCAGAGG